CCGTCGGCGGCCCCGCGGCGCGCGGTGGTACGGTCCGAGACGGCCCCCGGCTATAAATAGCGCCGGGCGCATGGCTCTTCGGGAGGCGCTGAGGTTCCGGGCCCGGCGGCCGCGGGCGGCGGGCGCCTGTTAGCCCCGGGGCTGCCGTCCTCCTCTGCCTTTTGGGGGTTCTTTCTTTGTGATAGCAGCAGGTGCAACCTTTTGTATTTTCAAAGCATTGATTTTCATTTCCGTGTGGGTAGGTGGGGGGCCGCTCTCCACCTTGCTGTGCCGTTCGGGCGACAGGCAGGCGGGGCGGCGGCGGCGGAGGTGGAAGGGCGCTTTTCTTTCCCATCTGGCTCCATTTATTTATTTATTTATTTATTTATTTAGACTCAAAAAAGCCAGGCGGCTTGGAGGGAGTCCGCCCAGCGATCTGAGTGCGCATTGATCAGTGTCGAGAGAAAAAAAAAAGCTACATAAATATATATTATGTGGATAAATCTGTAGACAAGAGCTCTCTCTCTCTCTCTCTCTCTCTCTCTCTCTCTCTCTCTCTCTCCTCTCGGGCTCTCTCCCCCTTCCTTCTCGCATCCCGAGACTGCCAGAGCAGTCCCCAAATTTCTGCACCCCTCCAGCCACCCGCCCCACCTGGGAGGGTGAGGCTGGGGGAGCCTCTGGCCGCGCCAGGGGCGTAGGGGGGCGATTCGTCTGGGCCCTCCGCCCCAGCCCGCTGAGGAGGCGGGAGGGGATGTTTTGGTCCCGGACGATTTCTCTGGTCCGGAGGGCAGCGGCCGGGCTGGCGGGAGGAAGGTAGGAGCCGGGATCCCCGGCCCGCCCGCCGCGGAGGAGGAAGGCGCTGGGCGCGGTGGCCGGAGAGCCAGCGCGGGAGAGCCGCTCGATTTATTTCTGCCCCCGTTTGCTTCCCTGGTGCAAATTGGAAAATTATTTTCTTAATCCACTGTCAAAGAAATAAAGACCCCCGAATCGCTATCCCTGCTGCGGCCGGAGCTGGGCTGGCACGGCTGGCGCTGCCCGGCTGGTCTCGCTTCCTGCACCGCCCGATTCCGATCCAGAGGTGCGAGGCAGGGAGTCCTAGCGGCGGTCCGGCCTCCCAGCTTGGGCGCACAGGACTCCCGCCGGCCCGGAGGGCTGGAACCTCGGCTGTGCGCGGGAGGGAGTAGCGGGCGCAAGAGCTGTCCCGCCTCTGGGGGCGAACACTGGTGGTGAACTTGGCTGGGGCAGATTTTCATTCTCAGGGTGTTTACTTGCTACACCCCATCCTCTTGCACGTTTGCTTTTCTTGGCTTTAGAAGCCGAGCCAATTAAAATAAAGCGTCCATTCCCCCTCCGGCCGCCGGGCCGGAGCTGGGACAGCGGGGCGGAGCTGCTGACCTAACCCCACTAGGGCCCCCTCTGACCACTTTCTGGTTCTCAGGATTTTTCTTCTTATCCTTGAATCACATTATGTTACTAGACGTTGTGTTTAAATTTTTATTTAAAGAAACGATACTCCAGCGGCCTGAAAACCCAGGCCAAGCCCGTTTGGTGCAACCATAACGTTGTACTTTCCAGCGCCAGAGGAGGCCAGAGGCCCGAAGGTTCTCAGCCCCAAGGCCCTAGCCCGCTCCAGATGCATCTCTCCAAGGATGGGGCACCCAACCAAAGAGCAAGAACAGTTCCGAGGACGGTGGAACTTCATTCTTTCACTTTAGATCCTCCTGTTTGCTTGTTGGAGTCCTGTGTAAGTACAGCTGATACAGAACTTGGTTTCCCAAGGTTTCTATTATCCAGGGTAGATGCCGGTCTAAGAATTCCAAGTTGATAGAACCACACAGAAACTCATCTGTAGAGGATGTCTGTTGTGGCAGTGTGTTTCTGGTGTGCTATAAAAGGTTGGGCATGGCCTTGGTAAGCACACTCTGTGTGTGTGTGTGTGTGTGTGTGTGTGCGTGTGTGTGTGCTTGTGTTCATGCGTGCATAGATGTCTTGTCAGGGCTGTGTGTGTAGGTGCAGTCTGGGCGTGTGCAGAATCTGTTTATACCCACACTCCTGTGTGTGTGTGTGTGTGTGTGTGTGTGTGTGTGTACCCACCAGGACACCCACCCCAGGACACATGAGCAGAAGATAATGACTATCCAAATTCATCCTCCGACAGCATCTGGCGCTGCTGGTCTTCCCGCCCCGAATCTCACTGTGGAGTGGATTCTATTTTTTGCTGTAGCAGGAGAGTTGGGGAAAACAATTTCGATTTGAGGATCCTCTTTCTCCCACTGCCTCCGCCTATCAAAGCAAAGCCAGGAGGGTGTGAAGGTGGGCCACGAGGGGCAGCTGATGGTGGTGCGGTGGTGCAGAGGAGCCATGCTCAGAAGAGGGCCCCCGGGGGTCGCCCTCTTCTTTGTGCTACCTGTTACCCCCAGGTCCAAATAAATTATTCACAGGGGTTTAATTATTGATGCTATTAAAAATAATAGCCAATATGTGATCAAAGCCATACCCAGGCAGGAGCGAGTGAACACTGGAGTATAAATGGAAGGGGCCACCTGGGGATTTCTGATGCCCACGCTGTACTCCCAGCTCCCTCCGGGCCTGCCTATCTGTGCAGTGTCTCTTCATATGTGTAGCTAAGGCAGGGCAGAGACCTTCCTACTTAGGTGAGCTTCTGCCCTCCTCCATAGCCCACTTGGTGGTGCCTCATTTTGGAATTGGCCTTAGCCCTTATCCCTCAGGTCTCTGACAGGTGTGTTGGGAATTATCCTGTGTCCCCCCACAAACAGCCAGGACACCAGGTCCTATGTGTGTAAACAGCAGCTGCAGATGCAGCTTCTGCAGACAGCCAGCTCTTAAAGGTGCAGAGATGCAGCTCTTAGGCTCTCACTTTGTGGCCACTTGGGGTGTTGGGGGTAAGATAACACAGACAGGTGTTTCAAGTGAATAAATAAAGAAGAAAGCCCCCTGGAGGTAGTGCACTTCTGGGTAGGGTGGCTCTTCAGCACCCTGATATTCTAGGGAGACTTGAGTTAAAATTTTTTGACCTCAGATCATCAAAGAGAAAATGTAATTAGGGAAAGACAGGGACAAAGTATTATCCACTGTGACATTTAAGCAGATCTAAAACTTTTTCTCCAAGTGCCACTTCATGGCCACAATTATTCCATCCACTGAGAGAGAGGGAGGAGACCGGGAAACGGGAGTGGAACCTGGGAACAATTGCTTCCCATTTCCCTCTGGGTCTGGAGGTAACATTTTGTTGCTGATTCATCTCTGGGGGTATCAGGATGCCCTGGTGGGGGAGGGTTGGAGGGTAGATCAGGTCACTTGTCTCTGTTCTTCCGCCCTGTCTCTGAGGAGTAAGGAAGGTCCTTCTCTTTCTGTGTTCCCCTCCCCTCCCATTAGCCACCTAGCATCCTCTCCCCCTTGGTACCTACTGAATCATATGCTACCAACCCTGGCTGTAGCTATACACTCCGGCTCTGCTCTGGCTGTCCTGCCCCATGACTTTTCTCTCCAGTAAGAATGGCCCCCTTCTGTCTCTGTTCTCCCAGCTGTGCACACAGCAGGTGCTCTGGAGGGAGCTTACCAGTGGCTAATTTGACTGTGTTTATTCCTCTGGGTCCTCAGCTTCAGGCTGACAGTCTGTGGGAAGGATTCAGGGTTGTGCATGAAAACACTCATAGGAGCTCAGCCGACTCTAACTCTGTCCGGCTTAGCTTGGAGGAATTGTCTCAGCTATCCTTGCATCCATTTAGCCCTTCTGATCTCTGACTGGAAACACTGGAGAAAGTACAGGCCTGCAAAGAACTCACTGTCTAGTTAGAGAGCAAAGTCACACCAACTGAAAAGCCTCAGAACAGCAAATGGCAACAGATGGTTAAATGTCTTCCAGGCCTGAGGATTTCCACAGGAGGGAATAGAAAATAGAAAGCAATCCAAGTTGGGGGTGAGGAACAGTGTGACTTGTGAGGTGGGTAGTGGCCTTAAGGAGACAGGACACTTACAAGCGGGATGCAGAGGTGTTCTGCTACAGAGAGTTGGCCAGTGGCCTGGACATCGATTAGGAGAGAAGCAGTGGGTTCTCAAGGTTACCTGGAGACCACTCTGAGAACAGGGCTCTGCATTGGCTTCCCCAATCCAGGGATTAGCCCTCCATTTAAATGTCTTGATGAGTGAGCACTCTCTGTAGGCCTACACAGGGTAGGGAAGGTATGGTGTCTCTCTGCTGCATGTTTTGTTTTGGCAAAGAGACTGATTCAAGGAGCCAAGTGGCTACCTAAGGATTCAGTGCAGCCAAGGAACAGAGGAAGAGGAGCCCTTGAACAGGGCGGAGCTCCTGTGGACAGTGGCACTCAGAAGACTTTTTGGAGAAGAGAGGCATGAGGTGGTCCTATAGGTGAGAAGAGAGAAAGAAGTGGCCTTGCAGATTGAGGTAGGGGTTGGAGTCACCAGGCCTGGACTCACCAAAGGACTGTGACTTCTCTGGTAACAAGAGGAAGCTCCCAGGTAGATATAGGGTAAAGAAACAGGGTGGGACTTGGAGGGCAGCCTCCAGCTTGTGTGGGCCTCTCCATAAGCCCAGGGCTTCTGTGTCCTTTAATCATTTTGGAAGACTTTGTTATATAAAGCCCAATGAAGAAGAGAAAAACAATGCTTAACACCTCTGTTGATCTGAGCAGCCTCTTGCTCCTCTAGAAGGACCTCTATGTCCTCTTCTGAGCTCACAGCA